CTAGCGAACTTGTACTTTCGTACCCAATTCATTTATGATAGGGTTTGATACACGTTCCCCGGGGAATATGGGATCTCTCCCCTCAGAGCCCACGTTCTCTATTCACGTATTGATTGTCTATAAATAGAAATTGAGGCCCTATCCTAAATGAATGCCGCCATCCAATTTTTCCTTTCCTCCTCGAATGGGGGAGGAAAAGTTAATTTCTCGGCTGTAGTTAGTATGCCGGGGAGGGGGGGGGCGGTACGACAATTGCGGATACGCACGTGCGGATGCGACGATTGCGGATATAAAATTTTTAAAAAGTCTAAGATTTTTTAGAGTTTTCAGTGCCACATCTGTCTAAAAATGATTTGGAAACCGTCAGAAGTCTGAAGCTGACAGCCGGGACAAAAAAACGGAATATCATTTCAATCATTTTAAAAATTTTTAAAAATTTTTTAATCCGCAAATGTCGCATCCGCACTTGCGTATCCGCAATTGTCGTAACACCGCCGGGGGTAAGGTAACTTTGTCCAAACTTATTCAATCACGGTGACTTTAGTGTCTTTAACTCAGTTCGTCGAGCTCTTTCAAATGAGCTATCATTAAAAATAAAATTTACTCAAAAATTGAGTTTATCCCCATACTACAGCCGAAGAATTAACTTTTTCTCCCCCATTCGAGGAGGAAAGGAGAAATTGGATGGCGGCATTCGTTTCGAATAGGGCCGTAATGGATCTAAAACTCAAATAGTGAGGGCGAGATATGAATAGTTTCTCTAATCAGGTGTATATCCGTAAATATCTCGATATTCAAATATTTTATATCCTTACTATTGGTTCAAATTGAATAAAAAATAGTCGGGCCTGGATGGTTTTTCTGACAAAATTTACTGAATTTTTAGAATTTTTAGCAAATAAATTTTCTTCAGCGGGAAAAACGAGATAAAGATGAATTATGTTATGTGTAAAAAGTCCGGAAATTTTGTCCACAAAAGGATTTGTCCATTCTTAAACATTCCATGTTGTTAATTTCTTTGGAATTTTCATTATATCTATTTTTTTGAAATTTTCAAATTAAGATAGGTGTTCTAGTTAAAGATATAAAATACATGTGGAAAACTCAAAATTTATATTTAATTTGTTTTAATTTTTTCTTTTAGGTTCAACGAATTAATGAAACCGAGCAAATTTCGGACAGCGAAGGTGTGGTTTTCTAAAATATTGTATTTGCTTTAGAGACCGGACTTTTGAAGGGTTTTACGAAAAATATAAAAATTATATCTCACGATTATTATATGGGATTTCTCGGAAATTTCGATAACTGAAAATTTTATTAGAGATCTTGTCTTGGTTCGGTCTCTGAGCATATTTTTAAATTAAATAGTTTTTGGAATCAAAATGAATTCTTTAGGAAATTATAGAACCTATCTAGTTTTCTCATCTTGCTTATAATTTCAACGGGGCAGCTGAGTTCTATGACTGGAATGGTTCTATAATTTCTTAAAGAACGAACAAGGGAGAGTATCTGGGTGTCCATGGAATTTCGGGATAAAATTTTTGGGATGAAATTTTGTAAAAAAATTTTTTTGTTTTCACTTTTCGATTTCACCAAAGGAAGCTAGAGAGAAAAGAAAAAATTGCACTAAAATATATTCCTCCTTTAACTTAATGCGGATAAAATTTGCAAACTTGCGGCATAGCCGAAAGTACCAACGTATTTTTTTCGTATTTGGGGTTACTTTTAATGCTTTTCAATAAGACTTTATTTTGTCCCTGTTTTGAACTAGCCGAAAAAAATTGTCTAAAGGATTAATCCGTAAAATTTTTTCTTACAGAGGAAGATTCTACATCTGATATTGAATTAAAATTACATGAAAATATTAATGGAGAAAACGAAATGTGTACTAGCAGCAATTATGAAACTGGAAAGGTAAACTATTAACTTATTTACAATGTTTTGTTTATGAGTGAGCGGCAAATTCTAAAATACGGTCCAGACAAGTCAATGTCTGAAATTCATGGTCTGACAAAATCATGGAACGGCAAAATCATGGTCCAAAGGAAATATTTATTTTCAAATTTTTAAAAATTAGGCGGCGTTAAAAAGATATCGAGGGGTTTGGCCTATTCCATGATCAAGCGCCTCGTAAGGATCAGAGATGCACGAAAATTTTTCGTTTAGTTTTGTGTTTCGTAGATTTCGTCGATTTTTTGGCTGTTTTAATTTCGTAATCCGTTTGAAAATAATATTTTTCGATTCATATTTAATTAAAAATTTATTTTCGTTTCATTTTCGTTTCGTAACATGCAATTTTAAAAAACAATATTCCATATTTTTAAACAATTTTTTACTATTTTGTCGTATTTTTAGGCCAAAAATTGAAATTTTCTCCCTGGAACTTAAAATTAAGAAAATTCGAATTTTTTAACCCAAAAATGAGCTTACTCCCCCGTATGGTTTTTGATTATTTCGAGCCCTCATCTCGATCCACAGAAATCTCCTTGGAAAAAGAGTGGTACCTTTCGATTCAGCACTTTTTACTACCCTATATATGACATTTTAAGCATTAATTTAGTGGGAGGTGGCATAACGGAAAAGTACCCTTTTTCTTTATATAGTTTCTAAATGTCATTTTTTTTCATTTTTGAATAATCTTCTTTTGAAATAAAGGCAAAACTGAATTTTAAAATGCGGATCGTTTCGTGTTTTGGACATTCCATGCGATTGTTCCGTGATTTGGAAAGAACGTATTATGTAGATCAGGGCTGGGCTTATGTCGCACTTTCGAGTTTCGCATCTTTCGCATTCTCGCATTTTTTAGCGCGAAAAGTTTCGCATTTCACTTTTTATTTTTTCATTACGCCCAGCCCTGATGTAGACCCGTATTTTGGTCATTCCGATATTTGGTAAAACCTTAGTCCGACCGTGATTTGTCGTTCCATGTATTGTCTGTTTCTTAAGTTATCCTAACTAGAGATCGGACCAAACAAATATTTGGTCAAATAAAATCAAATATTTGACCAAATTTTATTTGATAAAATCAAATATTTGACCAAATTTTATTTGATTTTATTTGATCAAATATTTGTTTGATGAAGGTTTGAAGGAATTTGATTTTTTCAAATATCAAATAAATATTAAATAATTTGATCAAATATTTGTTTGATGAAGGTTTGAAAAATCAAATATTTGATCAAATATCAAATAATTTGAAAAATTATTTGATTTTCGTTTTTAGCATTTAAGATGGCATATTTTCCTTATAAAATCGATATGATAACCGAAATTTTTGCTCAAGGACAAATTATTTATCGTATCAGAACATATCCCGATGCACATGATATCTCTATATTACTTCATAGTTGAGTCCTCACGATTGATTCCCCCTTGTATAGTAATTTAGAAGGGATTTTGGGGATTATCAGTGATATTGAGGGATTAGAGGTGAACCGTTTTAAATGATTTGGGAGGATTAAGAGAAATTTAGGTGGATTAAGGGAATATAGATGGATTTGGCGTTCAAAATATATATCAATGGATTTGGCATGATTAAAAAGATATAAAAGCATTTGGAGGATATCGAGTGATTAAGAGAAATAACTAGTAATTTGGATGGATATCGACGGATTTGGAGGGATTTTGGGATTAAGAGTATATAGTGGGATTTGGGATGGACATCAAGATTTGGAGGGATTCTGGGAAGATGGATAAATGGTGATTTGTGATGCATATCGACGGACTTGGAGGAATATCCCGATGCACGTTATGTCCCTTTATTACTTCAACTCTTAATCTTCCAATATCCTCTTAAGCCTTACGATTCCCTCATATCACCTTTAATCCCTCCACATCCATATAATCCTCCGATATCATCTCCATATCCTAATATCCACGATATACTCTCAAATACACAGATTTATATGGTATCCCTGAATTTATAAAAAAAAATTGATATTTGATCAAATATTTGACTTTGCAAATCAAATTTTTTCAAATATCAAATAATTTTCAAATTATTTGATCAAATATTTGTTTGATGACTTTTGGGAGAAATCAAATTTTTTCAAATATCAAATAATTTTCAAATTATTTGATCAAATATTTGATTTTGTCTTTTGTCCGATCTCTAATCCTAACACGTTCTATTTTTAAATAGATTAACATTTTCGGGGTTATTTTGTTTTTTATAAAGTACTTTTATTGCTTTCTCAATTTTTTAAATTATAAAACTAAAAATAAAAGCTTACATTTATTATTTCTAACATAAAATGTATAAAAAATTTAATTTCTTTTATAAGTTTCAAAAACATTTTAGAAATACAGTGACTACTTTATGAAAAATGGGGTAGCGTTTAAAACGTCATACTTCTCTTATTTAAATGATACAACCACTGAAAAAAAAGAAAACCCTCCGAATACAGATCAAAAAGAAGATAAAGAGAAAAAAGAAGCTGATAAAAAAGAGGAAATTCCAACCAAAAAAGAATTACCGTTCGGAGTAATGCCATTACTTGGGTCTTCAAGTAAATTTTTATTTCAAATAATACAGGGTGCGGCAAATTTGGCGCGCGATTTGTTTTTAGTATAACTCGCTTCAATATAAATAAAAATCAATAATTATTTTTTTGTTGAATTCCTAACACTCTAGGCAATTTATCAATACCAAAATTACAATCAATATAAGCTAAAATAACATCATAATTAATTTGCAAAAAAGGGCTAATTTCTATCGTATTTCAACATTTTTTCCATCATTTTGAATGCATTTCTCCAAACGACTGACATAAGCAGCAACGGCTCTATCAACAATTTCCTGAGGTAATTGATCAAAAGCATGTTGTATACGGGCCTGAAGTTCGTCAAGGTCGGCTGGCTGTGTTCGGTAAATTTGACTTTTCACCCATCCCCATAAAAAAAAGTCACAAGGTGTCAAATCTGGGGAATATGGAGGCCAAGAAAAAGGGGCGACAAAATTTGCCGAGCTGCGACCCATCCAACGAAGAGGAAAGTTTTCGTTTAGCCAGTCATGGACCTAAATGCGTGATGAAGCTGAGTTTGAGCTCTAGAGGAAACCTGCGCTTGATGATGTGGTGGAGCTCCGTCTTGCATAAAAATGAGTTGGCGAAAACTAGGCCAAGTTTGAACAACAGGGAGAAGCCGTTCCTGAAGGAGTTGAAGATAAGAAGCTGCAGTCACATTATTGAAGAAGAACACCGGCCCAACAACTCCTTTACGACCTATTGCCGCCCAAACACTCACCTAATGACAATAATCAAAAAGAAAAAACAAACAGCTAACTCTTGGGGAGTGGAGAGGTTCCTCGCGAAACCAATGCGGGTTCACATCATTCCAATAGCGAAAATTTTGATGGTTTACGTGCCCGTGGAGATGGAAATGTGATTCGTCAGAGAATAGGAGGTTTTCCAAAAACTCATCATTTGCGTCGATTAGATCCAACTGGGAAGTTGCGAACGCAACGCGAGTTTCGTAATCAATAAGACGAAGCTTTTGAGCATGCTGCATTTTGTAGGGATGAAATTTTGATGCCTACAACAATAACAATAAGAAAAGCACCAAAGTCTAATCACCTTCAAAATGCGGCCAATTGTCCTAGGTGAAGGCATGTTTTCTTGTCTTGATACACTGCGAAGGCTCGCATGCGGATCTTCGCGAAATTTAGCCAATACCTCCTCAATTTTCAATTCAGTTTTGACCCAATTTGTTTTCGTTTTCTTTTTCTTGTTCAGGTCATTGGTTTCGAAAAATTTTTCCCACCAACGATAGATTGTCGCACTATTAGGAATCGCTGTATTTCTTCCAAATTTTTTGCGGTATTCGATTTGTACAGCCCTTGGAGATCCGAACATTCCATACCAAATAACGGTCCATGCTTTTTGCTCATTATTATAGTCCATATTTTAAAAAAATATCAGCTAAAATGACCTAATAAATTATACGGATATGTCGAGTAAGAAATTGGTTAATTGGTATTGATAAATTGCCTAGAGTGTTAGGAATTCAACAAAAAAATAATTATTGATTTTTATTTATTTTGAAGCGAGTTATGATAAAAACAAATCGCGCGCCAAATTTGCCGCACCCTGTATTTAAATAAAGCCCGTTTCAAATACCCAATAATTTTATTTTGATATTAGCGCCTTGGACAAACTAAGAATATAGTATAGTATACCGGTGAAAAAAAAATCGACTCAGCTCGATGAGCTCTTTCGAATGAGCTATCACACGAAAAATCGAATTTTTCACCCCAAAATTGTGCTTACTCCCCCCTATGGTTTTTTGATATTCGGGGACCTATATCTCGGCCCACAGGAATCTCCGGAAAAAAAGAGTGGTACCGTTCGATTCAGCTCGCCGAGTCGAATCGAATGGTATAGGTCTTATATCGAAACCTTTCCACCGGTATACTATACTACAGCCCGAACTAAAATATAATCGGTTTTAAAACCCTGTCGATATGAATTCAGAAATTTCAAAAACTTAAAAAAATTCACTGAAGTATTTCATTCAAAAATCCCATGAATACGGAAATTTTTGTCGATTTTGAAACACCACTAATATCGATAATAAAAATGGATCAGATTATTTGAAAAGCTGGTTTTTTAATAATATGACATAAATAATTAAGTAATTATTTTAAGTAAAATTTTTGCCGAATTACGCGTTATATAATAATGCGACGTAATGCGAAATTTTTTAAAATTTTAACAACTTTAGAAAAATTATCTCAAAAAATTGGGGTGGATGAGGTTATTTGGAACGGACTTTATAAAGAATAAACCCAAAATATAATCGGTTTTAAAACCCTCTTGGGAAGGTACGCCTTGGAAAAATCGTATTAAAATATGGTGTAATATCTATTAAGGGGATAGCTTAACTTTACGCTATTTAATCGAACAAATTATCAGCGTATTCAATAAGACCTTTCCGCTGAAAGATAATTAATAATCATATTAAAAGTAAATGATTAAATCAGAATATATAAATTTTTGCCGGGACACGCCCCAGGTTGGAAAAAAAAAAAAAAAAAAAAAAAAACTTTGGACCGAATAATCTCAAATAATTTTTTCAAATCTCGAATTGGTCCGACTAAAATTGACTAAGGTTTGCTAGGCCTTGTCGAATAGATGAATTCGATCGGCTTGAATGCCTGCCACACTTCAACTGACGCCGTCTCCTCTGAATAAGAATCTGATGTGCTCTGCGAATCTCTGAATAATCCGAATACTTCCCCAGAATTTGAATACTTGTCCGAATAATTGTCCGAATTGTGAATCAAAAGATTCACGACTGCGACCGCGCCACTGTTATGTACGTGACTTGTATGTCTACGTACTAACAAGAATAACAAGATAAGACAGTAACTAACGACTGTGTTTTATCTACAAGACTAAATACAACAATAGTGAAGGTGGCAAAAGGCAAGAATGAAGAAGGACAGACGGCGCCGGTCGACCCAGGTGTCGACCCAGACTGATCGCTAACGACTCCTTTTATACTAGACCCACACATACCTAACAGTACCCATTTTTGCCATCCTTAATTGTCGTAAAAATTATGGTGCATGTATCCAAAATTCAACATATTTAATCTAAACAGGGGTTATTTATGAGTGGGTATTCAAAATCTAGGTCCGACTATAATTTGAATCATTTAAATTTAACTAATTTTTCAGTTCAAAATGGTAAAGTCATTGGTGTTGTTCATGCTGTGTCGGTGGGAGTTTCTAAACATCCAGTATCAGACGAAGAGTTTGCTCCTGGAGCCACTAAAGAACTTAGAACGTGTGCCTTTATAGCTAAGGCTTGTGCTGAACGGATCTGCGAACTTCGTGGAATTCCATTTACTCAGGATGACAGAGAACGCTATTTTTATGAATTCGACCCCGTACGTTTAAATTTATTTTTCTAGCACTAAACATGGTCCTACCTTTTTGAGATTTTTAAAAAAATATATCATGGGGTTAAAAACTAACTTCCGGCAGTATCCTCCGCATTCCTTCAAGATAGAGCCAAAAAATTTTTAGAGTTTCTGTGTACTCTTTTTAATACTAACATTAAAAAACAAAAAATAAAAGCAAAGGCGAAAAAAGAAGGAATCTTGTAGTTTTGGCCTATGAATCTTTGATTTTTAGATTAAAGAACTACATTTCCATCTAGGTTTCGACCTTAGTTAAAATCTGCCCATCAATGATATTATTAATCTGTTAAGGTATACCTCGGGTTTTTCGCACAAGTCCGAATTTTGGTCTCTTACGTCTGCAATAATTCCCACAATAGTGTGTTTATTGGTACTTATTTACTTCCCCCTCCCCCGTCAATTTTTTCGGTGATATGTTTTAAGGGGTCTGTATCGGTACTTATTTAGTTCCCCCCCCCCCCCCCCCCCCCCAGTCAGTTTTTTCGAAAAATATGTAAAAATGGTCAGTCTGAACAACAATTGTAGAACCCATCGAGCTGTGTCAAATGACACCAAAATCAACAAAATCCGACTTGATTGGACCGAGTTACAGACCCTAGAACCACTGGGGCGTAAAATCTTATGGACGAGAATTTAGGCCGTATATGAAATGAATGCGGCAATCAAATTTTTTCCTTATTCTTAAAAATGGTTAATTTTCTTATATTTTTCTCTCTATTTCTGATAAGTGCCTTAAGACAATAACCGCAAAAGGATTATTTTTCTTTAACTTTGTGAGCATTTACTTTTTTTCTGTCCGATGTGTGTGCGTGTTTTGTCCGTCCGAATTAATTCGTGTTTTGTCTGTCTGTCCGAGTTCGTCCGTGTTTTGTCTGTCCATCCGAGTTAATTCGTGTTTTGTCTGTCTGTCCGAGTTCGCCCGTGTTTTGTCTGTCCATGTCCGTCCATTTCGTCCATGGTTTGTCTGTCCGTGTACGTATGTATTTTGTCTGTCTGTCCGAGTTAGTCCGTGTTTTTCTGACGAACTCGGACAGACAAAACACGCACACACATCGGACAGAAAAAAAAGTAAATGCTCACAAAGTTAATGAAAAATAATCCTTTTGCGGTTGTATGTAGTTCGCGGTATTTCCCCTACGGCATAAATCAAATATAGAGAGAATTATATTGAAAAATTGACCATTATGGGGAGTAGGAAAAAATTTGATTGCCGCATTCATTTCATATACGGCCAGAATTTATACAAATGATAGCTCATTCGAAAGAGCTCGTCGAGCTGAGTCGAATGACACCAAAATCAACGAAATCCGACTTGATTTGACAAAAATATGACATAATTCGTCGACTCCGGTAGGTCTAAACAATGTCATAACTTTGTCAAACCGTGTCCGTTTACGTTGATTTTGGTCTCATTCGACTCAGCTCGACGAGCTCTTTCGAATGAGCTATCATTTGTATAAAATCCAGTACCTATAATTTTACGCCCCAGTGGTTCTAGGGTCTGTAACTCGGTCCAATCAAGTCTGATTTTGGTGTCATTCGACACAGCTCGATAGGTTCTACAATTGTTGTTCAGACTGACCATTTTTACATATTTTTCGAAAAACTGACTGGGGGGGGGGGGGGGGGGAAACTAAATAAGTACCGTCTGTATCTCGGTCAGATCAACTCGTTTTTTTATTTTTGTCATTAAACACAGCTCGCCGGGTTCTACAACCTATGACAGATGATCATTAATTGACTGGGGGGAGAGAGTAAATAAGGTTATGCTATTTTTTACTAGCATAATCATTGATTATTTTATTTTAATGTTGATAAAATAATTTTTAATCATATTTAGCTTGAATCTGACAGAAAGGGTCAATCTGGAGGTGTGGCTATCACAATCGCCACTTTATCTAAAATTTTGAAGAGACATCCGGTTAAAGGTGCTTTAATTTGTTTTTATATCATTGGCAAAATTTAAAACCAATTAATATTTTTATTTTCAAATAAATCGGGGTCCGAAAACATCGGTTAAGAAATCTACAATTCGAATATTGTGGGATTCCCCAGGATCCGCCAATCCTATTTTAGATCCATATTTTACTTTACATTCTCTTCCTTCTCATAGAGATTAAATAATCAAGGATTAATCATTGTTAATAAATAATTTGATTTATATAAGGGGGTCATAAAGTAACCTTTTGTTTATTAATCCTTGACCATTTTTAATGAGGGAAAAGGAATGAAAACTCCAATTATAATTTGATTTTATTGTTTTTACATTCTAATTTAGGTCTTTGTACAACTGGACAAATAACAAATTATGGTTTGATGATAAAAGTGGGAGGATTAGCACAAAAAATCAAAGCAGCAAAAGCAATGAATATGGACAAAATTTTGTTGCCCAAAACTATGGAAGAAGATTACAAAAAGTTGAAAGAAAAATATAAGAAAGGAATCAAACCAATCTTTGCGGAAAATATTGATGATGTATTTGATGTTATATTCCCACCTGATGCCCCACCTGTTGCCCCATGATTTTTTTCGATATTTTAAATTTAATTTATTATTGGAAATATAAAAATCATCAAATATAAATTGACAATTAAAAAAGAAGTTAACTAAGCAACGAGAGATTGGGGGGAGTATAGGGATTGGCTGAGGGGCAACTCAAGGAATTCCAAATCACGAAATACCGTATTTATTCTAATAGAATGGCCCCTCCATTAGAATGGCCCCTCCAATAGAATGGCCCTTTTTTGGGGGTATCGAAAAATAGAGTGGCCACCTCTATTTGAATGGCCCCTCCAATAGAATGGCCCTTTTAACTACAAAACATATACCTAATACATTTCTTTATTTTCTTATTACCTGTTAAATAGTACTCTTTAGTTAGGATAATCATAATATTTTTGAGCAAATCTGGAGTAATAAAAGGGAGATTAAGAGGGATATTAGGGGATTTGAGAGGATTAGAAGTGATATTACGAAATTACAAAAATTTACTGAAGATAAATACTACATATCAAGGAATTAAGAGAATTAATGTTAAATATTCATGGATTGGATAGATTAGATTTATCAGAGAACATGCTGGGATACATAGGATTTATAGGAATATCGTTCAAATTCATCAATAACGCTCAGAATCTCTTCCGATTCCAATATATTACGTCCAACTTCCAACATCCCACAAAATTTTGGGAGCCAACTGTACCGGAAATTTTGATTATATGGCACCGAAGTACATAAAAAGTTGCCTTTTTGCCTAGCAGGCAAAAGACATTTATGTTTTATAGTGTTACGAAAAGAAAGATTCACTAACCAAAGTCGAAAATATGGAATTTTACAAGAAAAATCTATTAAATTTCGAAGTCGAAAGATATTCGATTGGACAATAGATTCATCCAATCTCAGATTCTAAGCTATGAAAAATAGAGTGGCCACCTCCATTAGAATGGCCCCTCCAATAGAATGGCCCCTTTTTGGGGGTATCGAAAAATAGAGTGGCGGCCATTCTATTAGAATAAATACGGTAGATATGTCAAGGAATGACAAGTCTTGGGAGGCCTTGACGAAATTCTCTGTACCCAAAGGTACAGAAGATTTGATTTTTTATTATTTTATTAAACTGAAAATAAAGATTTTTTTCTCTGGAAAAAGGTTTTGGTTATTCCGTGAGTAGGTCGTTCTTTACTTGTCTGTGTGAGTTAGTATCAGGGTTGCCGCGGGTACAAAAAATCTTCGGGTACGGGTATCGGGTTGGAGCGTTTTCATTTCGGGTTTCGGGTTGGCAAAAATATCGGGTACGGGTTTCGGGTTATGAAATTTTCATTTCGGGTATCGGGTTTCGGGTTGGCAAAAATTTCGGGTACGGGTTTCGGGTTTGGCAAAAAATATCGGGTACGGGTTTCGGGTGTTAGTGTATTGGTGTACTAAATTGTAAGAGACAAGCTATATTGCATGATAGGATTTTGGGTGATATAGAGAAGGGCAAATTTAAAGAGATTAAAGAGACATTGTAGGATTTGGGGATTAAGAGGGATATCTTGGTAAAATCCCACCCTAATAAAATCCCACTATATAGTAATATTTCTCCGCTTTATCTCCATTAAAGCCTCAAAATTTCTTCCTTTTTTCACCGCCGGAGGCGAAAATTTTGTAAAATTCATGACTAAATTAAAATTTATAATCCACCCCTATGAAAATATCGAGCCAGTCGACTAACCCATTCAACCGTGTCACGACACTTGCAGATATGACATTTGCAGACCCGACACTTGCAGACCCGACTTTTGCAGACCCGACATTTGCAGATGCCGACACTTGCAGATATGACACTTGCAGATCAGACATTTGCAGATTAGACCCATTTCGCTCTCTTCTTTACCTTACCTATACACCGTGGAGTGTTTGCTGCTGTGGAGGAATCCTGGGATGCCCATCTCATCGAAGATAAGAATAGGATCATGTTAGAGCCCAGAGTCCAGCGACCGTTGACTCCCTGCGAGGCGCGTGCCGCAAAACCCCGCGCGAAGCGTGGGGTTTTGCACAAGCGCCTCGCCGACGCTCCATAGGTTTGTGTTGAACGTTTGAACGTCCGGAAAAAGGGAATCTCCGGAAAAAAGAGTGGTGCCGTTCGACTGAGCTCGTCGAGACGAAGTGGTATGAGTCTTATATCAAAACCTTTCCACCGGTTTACTATACTATATCCTTTGATTTTTTAAGATTTTTAATTTTTTTTCAAAAATTAATATCTGCAAAAGTCGGATCTGCAAATATCTGATCTGCAAGTGTCATATCTGCAAGTGTCGGTATCTGCAAATGTCGATCTGCAAAAGTCGTCTGCAAATGTCGGGTCTGCAAATGTCATATCTGCAAGTGTCGTATGACCCATTCAACCACCGATCAACATAATAAAAATATTGAAAAAATTATAAATATTTCCTTTTATTTTCCTTCTTTCTCTTTTAGAATTTTTTAAATTTATTTTAAAAAATCGGGTAAGGCTAAATTTTCGGGTAGAAATTTCGGGTTTTAACCAATTCCGGGTCACGGGTTTCGGGTTGGAAAAAATATCGGGTACGGGTTTCGGGTTGGAAAATTTTCGTTTCGGGTATCGGGTTTCGGGTACAAAAAAAGGCCGGGTTTCGGGCGGCAACCCTGGTTAGTATGTTTCGTGAGTTGTCCGTAACTGGACTTTTCGTTCCTTGATTTGTCTGTTAGTTGAGTTAGCCCATCACGAAGGGATTAGGTTATTGAATTTAATATAATTTTTGCAAACCTGTAATTATGAAAAAATCATATTTGATAATCATAAATTTATGATACCATATGATAAATCCGATATCAAATTTGAACAACTGATATACTTGATAATTTTATTTAAGAGAATAGGCAAATTATTCTCTAAGTTTAGAAGCAAAAATAAAGATCCATGTTCTAAGATTGCGCCCCAAGTTAGTCCATCGCTTATTTTAGTCGTGTTCCGCAATATTTATTCGGCGGTTTTTAACGCTAGCAGTTATAAGTGTAGCAAACATTAGATATAGTATAGTTTACCGGTGGAAAGGTACCCATACCATTCGATTCGTCTCGACTAGCAGAGTCGAACGGTACCACTTTTTTTTCCGGAGATGCCTGGGCCGAGATATAGGTCCCCGAAAATCGAAAAACCATAGGGGGTAGTAAGCACATTTTTAGGGTGAAAAATTCGATTTTTTGAATGATAGCTCATTCAGAAGAGCTCCTCGAGCTGAGACGAATGACACCAAAATCAGCTCGAGATCTTGGTTCTACTCGACTTTATGAGTCCAAGCGAACCTTCTAAGTCCAATGAAAATTTATGAGTCCAAATAAAACCTTATGAGTCAACGGTCGCTGGGTTCTACAACAGTAACGTAAACTTATCCCTTTTATATTTTCAGCTTTGATTTGCCGCCCTACCCACGTAGCTTTCAAAAATCTGATTGAACTCATAAACTGTGATTGGAATCATAAACTAGGGCTAGGGTTTCGCTAATCAACACATTCAAAAACAAGTTTTTCTTGTCTAAGAAATGCGAAATGACAATAAAACATTATAAAAGGCCAAAAAATGGAAACCATGACATTTTTGAAAATTAAAAAAATTCATCGGGCTCGAAATGGTCAGGGGTAGTAAGCTGTTTTTGAAGTCAAAAATTCAAAAATGCAGATGATACCTCATTCGAAAGACTACTAGCCCAAACATTTACTATTAACTTTCAAGAGAAATACATGCAGAATTAATGTTTATTTTTGTAAGAATTTCTAGTTTATATTCAATAGAAAACGGGTCCTATATGAAAATAGGCCCTATATAAAACAGGCCCTATGAAATTACTTTTTTCATTACTTTTTTCCTTCCTTAATACGACATACTAATCAGAATTTTCTTCCTTATTCAATTCCAGCATATTTGCCTGTGGCATAATCAAATGAGAAATGTTAAAAAAGGATTAATGGAAAGGAGAACGTCTAAATGCAGGCAAATACCTAAGTTTCAATGGTGAGGAGCAACCAGAGCTGCGTCGAAATTTCGATTTTCGACTTTCGATTTTCGACGTTTTTTTCTAACGATTTCCAATTTTTGAATTTTTTATAAAATTTCGATTTTCGATTTTTTTTACAAAATTGCATTATCTTTTCTCTTAAGATTTTATTCCTACGGTGCCAAAAAATGAAGAAATTTGGCTACTTGGCCTTCCAAAATATAACTAAACTATTAGGATACAGAAATTATAACTAAACTATTAGGATACAGAAATTAGTTTTAAATTTAATTATTAAAAATTATTTAAATAAAATACATTTAAAAATAAATAAAAGAATAAAAAATTTATTATATAAAATCTAAAAAATTTATAAAATATAGAATATAAAAATAATTTATAAATAATATTTTGATAAATAAAAAATAACTAAACTATTAGGATACAGAAATTAGTTTTAAATTTAATTATTAAAAATTATTTAAATAAAATACATTTAAAAATAAATAAAAGAATAAAAAATTTATTATATAAAATCTAAAAAATTTATAAAATATAGAATATAAAAATAATTTATAAATAATATTTTGATAAATAAAAAATAACTAAACTATTAGGATACAGAAATTAGTTTTAAATTTAATTATTAAAAATTATTTAAATAAAATACATTTAAAAATAAATAAAAGAATAAAAAATTTATTATATAAAATCTAAAAAATTTATAAAATATAGAATATAAAAATAATTTATAAATAATATTTTGATAAATAAAAAATAACTAAACTATTAGGATACAGAAATTAGTTTTAAATTTAATTATTAAAAATTATTTAAATAAAATACATTTAAAAATAAATAAAAGAATAAAAAATTTATTATATAAAATCTAAAAAATTTATAAAATATAGAATATAAAAATAATTTATAAATAATATTTTGATAAATAAAAAATAACTAAACTATTAGGATACAGAAATTAGTTTTAAATTTAATTATTAAAAATTATTTAAATAAAATACATTTAAAAATAAATAAAAGAATAAAAAATTTATTATATAAAATCTAAAAAATTTATAAAATATAGAACATAAAAATAATTTATAAATAATATTTTGATAAATAAAAAATAACTAAACTATTAGGATACAGAAATTAGTTTTAAATTTAATTATTTAAAATTATTTAAATAAAATACATTTAAAAATAAATAAAAGAATAAAAAATTTATTATATAAAATCTAAAAAATTTATAAAATATAGAACATAAAAATAATTTATAAATAATATTTTGATAAATAAAAAATAACTAAACTATTAGGATACAGAAATTAGTTTTAAATTTAATTATTAAAAATTATTTAAATAAAATACATTTAAAAATAAATAAAAGAATAAAAAATTTATTATATAAAATCTAAAAAATTTATAAAATATAGAACATAAAAATAATTTATAAATAATATTTTGATAAATAAAAAATAACTAAACTATTAGGATACAGAAATTAGTTTTAAATTTAATTATTAAAAATTATTTAAATAAAATACATTTAAAAATAAATAAAAGAATAAAAAATTTATTATATAAAATCTAAAAAATTTATAAAATATAGAACATAAAAATAATTTATAAATAATATTTTGATAAATAAAAAATAACTAAACTATTAGGATACAGAAATTAGTTTTAAATTTAATTATTTAAAATTATTTAAATAAAATACATTTAAAAATAAATAAAAGAATAAAAAATTTATTATATAAAATCTAAAAAATTTATAAAATATAGAACATAAAAATAATTTATAAATAATATTTTGATAAATAAAAAATAATTAAACTATTAGGATACAGAAATTAGTTTTAAATTTAATTATTAAAAATTATTTAAATAAAATACATTTAAAAATAAATAAAAGAATAAAAAATTTATTATATAAAATCTAAAAAATTTATAAAATATAGAATATAAAAATAATTTATAAATAATATTTTGATAAATAAAAAATAACTAAACTATTAGGATACAGAAATTAGTTTTAAATTTAATTATTAAAAATTATTTAAATAAAATACATTTAAAAATAAATAAAAGAATAAAAAATTTATTATATAAAATCTAAAAAATTTATAAAATATAGAACATAAAAATAATTTATAAATAATATTTTGATAAATAAAAAATAACTAAACTATTAGGATACAGAAATTAGTTTTAAATTTAATTATTAAAAATTATTTAAATAAAATACATTTAAAAATAAATAAAAGAATAAAAAATTTATTATATAAAATCTAAAAAATTTATAAAATATAGAATATAAAAATAATTTATAAATAATATTTTGATAAATAAAAAATAACTAAACTATTAGGATACAGAAATTAGTTTTAAATTTAATTATTAAAAATTATTTAAATAAAATACATTTAAAAATAAATAAAAGAATAAAAAATTTATTATATAAAATCTAAAAAATTTATAAAATATAGAATATAAAAATAATTTATAAATAATATTTTGATAAATAAAAAATAACTAAACTATTAGGATACAGAAATTAGTTTTAAATTTAATTATTAAAAATTATTTAAATAAAATACATTTAAAAATAAATAAAATAATAAAAAAATTTATCATATAAAATCTAAAAAATTTATAAAATATAGAATATAAAAATAATGTATAAATAATGTTGTGTATGGGCGTCAACCCTTAGAGTGATTAGTATAAAAGCCCAGCCATTAGTTAGTTCTCTCTCCCAGTTTTAGATCTTCCTACCTACCTTCATCTGCTTTGTATTTCTGTGTGCGATAAACGTTTTTGTTAGCTCCTCTACGTAAGCGTGGTCATAACAAGTGGCGCGGTCGTGTAAAAAGAACCAGTCTCGTCTACTTCGAAAAAGGTCGTCAACAGCTTCAATAAGAAAAGTGCGGCAACAGCTACATAAAGAAAAATGGCCTTGATAAGTAAAGTGAAAACATGGTGGGAAAACCATGAGTGTAATGTAAAGAACAGTTTTGACATTCTCCATGTGAGCATGAGTGTAAAACCTAAATGGTTAACAAAAAAAGTATTAGTGAACGGAAACGAAGTGGAATTCATTCTGGATTCGGGGGCTCAAATTAGTTGCATAAGTGAAGTGACATGGATGAATATTGGTAGCCCAAAGCTCACCGGAGTGCCTTGCAAAGGCAGAAGTTTCACAGGAAACGAGTTTAGTATGTTAGGCAATTTTATGGCAAGTGTCGAAGTATACGATAGTAAACAAGTATTGGTGACACATGTCACAAGTGAAAAATTGAATTTGTTTGGCCTACCATGGGTAATTGAAGTTGAGAAAAAATTGGGATATCCAATAGTGTCTAGTATTAAGAGTGAAGAACCAATTGAAGTGTTATAAATTGAAAAGGCACAAAGTAAAATTAGTGAAATAGTAAACAGATTGTCAGTGCGATTTAAGAAAGTGTTTGAGCCAGGCTTAGGCCATTGTACAAAAATGAAGGCTCATTTGTATATGAAGCCAGGAGTGAGTCCAGTATTTTTACGGGCTAGACCAGTACCAATTGGCGTTAAAGACGCAATTGAAAAAGAGTTAAGTAGATTGAGTGAAATTGGAGCTATTAAGCCAATTGAATTTGCTAATTGGGCAGCGCCTATTTTAGCCATTAAAAAGGCAAACGGCAAAACAAGAGTGTGTATGGATTATTCAACTGGGTTGAATAATGCAATTGAATTGGATAGGCATCCTTTGCCAAAGCCTAGTGAAATATGGGCTGAGATTCATGGAAGTAAAGTGTTTTCGCAATTGGATCTCAGAGATGCCTATTTACAAATTGAGTTAGACGAGCAATCTAAAAAGTGGCGTGTATTAATAAACACAAAGGATTGTTTGAAGTGCAAAGATTGCCGTTTGGAGTGAAATCAGCACCAGGAATATTTCAGAGATTGATGGATAAATTGATAAGTGGAATTCCTGGAGTGTTTGCATATTTAGATGATTTAATAATAGTGTCTAAAAATATTGAAGATCATAAAGTGCAATTGTTTGAAATATTTGATCGAATTGAAAAGTGGGGATTAAAAATCCAATTAGAAAAGTGTAATTTCTTTAAAGAAAAATTGAAGTTCTTAGGCCATATTGTATCTAAAAGTGGAATTGAGCCCGACCCGGAAAAAAAAGAAAATTAGTGAATTGACACGCCCAAGAGATGTTAAAGAATCGAAGTCTTTTATGGGTACAATTAATTATTATGGGCGGTTTGTTAGTGAAATGCATAAGTATAGAGGGCCATTAGATAAATTGCTAAAAAAAGAAGTGAAGTGGGAGTGGGGGCAAGATCAAGAACAGGCCTTTCAAAGTGTTAAAAAAAGTGCTAAATTCTGAGTTAATACTAACGCATTTCGATCCAGATTTAGAAATAGTAGTGACAGCTGATGCATCGAATTATGGAGTGGGTGAAGTGATATCACATAAATTTCCAGATGGAAAAGAAAAAGTGATTGACAGATTTTTCTGTTCTGATTTTTTTCTTCTAATTTTTTTCTTTTGATTTTTTCTTCTGATTTTTTTCTTCTGATTTTTCTGTTCTGATTTTTCTGTTCTGATTTTTTTGTTCTGATTTTTTCTTCTGATTTTTTTATTTTTCTCCAAACTTCTAAATTCCTCAAAATTTTCGCATACGGCGCGAAGAGTAGAGTATTTAAATACCAATTTTCCATCATGGAACGGATCATAAAAATATCGGTTCAGTATCTGGAACTCAGATCAGGGCTGTCAGCAAGTGAAAAAATATTTTCCGCAGCCGCAATCCTCGCAAGTATCCTCAGTCCCCGATATCAGGCCCGTAGCCAGGATTTTTTTCGGGGGGGGGGGGTAATTTTTTGCGCCGAAGGCGCCAAAAATTTTTATTTTCAGCGCCGCAGGCGAAATTTTTTGAATTTTAGAAGGCCGTAGGCCAAAAAAATTCATGTTTTCGGCGCCGCAGGCGCCGAAAACTAAGGTCGTCCCGTTAACTTCTTCGAGGAAATTTTGTCAAAAATATACTCCCAAGAACTAGTTCCAAAGCTAGTTCCAGACATTTACTAGTTCCGTAGTTCCAGTTCCAAGCAATTAGCTAGTTTTTTTAATTTAAATTTTATTAGTGAACTATTTAGTAGTATTTGATAATTAGATGAATAATCCAAACGTTTTAATTTTTTAAATTTAATTTCCGAATTTTGCTTTTAAAAATAAATTATTTTTTGTGATAAATTGGAAAACTTTCAGGCTAATTTTGTTCAAAAATATTAGAGCTAATGAAGAAAAAATAAAAAAAAGTTATTGTCGAATTACATAGCCGTTCGTTGAAAATATAAAGATTAAAAAAGCGCTTTTTGTAAAAAAACGACCAAAGAAAAAATTATATTTTACTACTTAAAAAATATTTTTAAAAATTTCAATAAAATTCTTTAATGATTAAATGTTTTGAGACGTCATATGTAAATGGCTTAGATTCCAAATCATTTCCAAAATTAGCTTCAATTGAGCAACAATACAGCCAAACACGCGGTTTGTATAAATCGGATTTTTTCTTTAATAATACACCTTTACCTTAAAAGATAATTTTTGTATGATTATTTTAATTAATTATTTACCAATTTGCTTTCCATTTTGTGTAAAAAATACATATGGAAATTCATTTAATTTATTAGTTGGAGGATAAACTAATCCACAACCAAAAATATCGTTATTATTCCAAGAGAATGTTGAAAGTATAAATGATACACTTTCGTTATTTATTTCACCATATTTTGCATAATAGTAAATATAATTGGTTGTACTACAATTTCTAAGACCAATTTGCATATATGATTCGCTACCTTTTAATTCTCTTTCAAATTTACTTTTAATTTCAAAATAATATAAAGAATAAGTAGAAGAATTTTGTGGCTTTTTGAACGAATTTTCTGCATAAATATGAACATAATTATCATAACCTAAAAATATTTATTAAAAAATTCCAAAAATTTTAAACATTCACCTCCATTCCTCACCAAATATTTAATATTTTCATCGTTAATTAAATTTACAAATCCATTTCCTTTAGTTCAATTACCAATAGTATTGTTTGTATTTATACAATTATCGTAACAACATTTAAAGTAACTATCGATTTCATTCCATTTATTTTTAATTTTAACAAATACCATATTATTCAATAAACTAATAACAGAATTTAAATTATTTATTTTTAATAAATCAGCAATTTTTTTGTCGATCAAATCATTTACCTTTGTTAAATAAAATTATAATTAATTTAAGAAATATTTTTTATTTTAGATTTATGTATTTTAAATAATTTAATTAAATCACTTTCTTTTAAAATACATTCGAAAGAGCTTGTCGAGCTGATTCGAACGACATCAAAATCAACGTAAATGAACAAGATTTGACAAAGTTATGACAACGTAATCTTATTTTAGACGGTGAGACGCTTTTGCAAAACATTTCTCTTTGCGCAAGTTTTTGTCTGTATCTTGGCCCAAATTTAAGACCTGGGGTTGATTATGGTACCGGTCAGATTTAGGGATTTTCGGTACTCGATCGGTACCGGTACTTTTCGATACTACCGGTACTGGAAAAATCCGTTCGCCTAACACTATCCGTAACACGATAATCAGATCGGGTTTATCAAATAACTGCTCGAAGGCAAAAAAACAAACAACATTTTTGTATAAGTAGAAACTAAATTAATTAATTACCTTTTTAATTTCAACTTCCAAAGAATTAATTTTCTCATCTTTTCGAACATTTTCATCTTTTAATTGTTTGATATTTTCATCAATTAATATTTGAAAATCTTGCTTTATTCCTTCCATCTCGTTTTCAGAATTTATTTTTTGAATTGTCTAAAATTATTTTTAAACAATATTTAAAAAATCCAAACTTTATCCATTCCCTTTAATTCATCTTGTAAATTAGCAGTCTTTTCCTTCTCTTCAATAAATTTTAATTCCAGATTATTAAAATTAGTTTGCAGTTTAATTAAATCTTTGACTTGATTATGCAACTTTAAAAATAATTTTTATAATTTTTAAAATTATGTTTAAAATTTACATTTAATTCAAATCAGAAAATGTGATTTAGTTTGTAGTAAGAAATAAATTACTTACCTTATTAATTTCTTCCTCCAAACAATTAATTTTCTCATCCTTTTGCTTTAGTTCTTGTATTTCTTTTTTAGCATCAAAATTTATTGTTTGTATTTTCTAAAATTAGATATATTTAAATTCTATAAACGGCGCTATGTTTAATTAATTTTTATTAGATTAATTTTGCTAACTTTATAATGTATTTTTTGTAAAAAACTCATTTAATAATTTTTCTATTTACCTTAATCTCCTCTTCCAAATAATTAATTTTCAAATCTTTTTGCTTTAAATTCTCATCGTTTTCAGCTTTTAAAATTTTAATTACTTTCTCATGTTCAGAATTTAGTTTTAAGATCTCCTAAAAATATTGAAATTATTGAGCCATTGGCATTTTATTTTTAAATTATTTTTAGACTTTAAAATAGCAAAAGATGAACTAAAAACAAAGGGTTACCCGACACTTGCGGAACGACATTTGCGGATCGACAATTGCGGATTGAATTTTGCGGAACGACATAAGCGGACCCGACATTTGCGGACCGATAGATGCGGATCGACTTTTGCGGACCGACAGATGCGGATTAACTTTAGCGGATCCGACATTTGCGGACCTGGACTTTTTCAAGAAAATAAAAACCCTTTACTCTTGTAAAAGTTTCGTAATGAATATTGAGACCGCCTTGGGCCCGTGTCTTCGAAAATTATTGAATTTGAACAAGAAAAAGGATCTATTCCCAAAGTTGTAAGCTGATTTAACATTTTCACCGACCAGACCCGGTACCCTGACATTTTCGACACGCAACCCGATCTAAAGAAATATATTTAAGTCCGAAAAATTAGAAAATCCTTTATTTTTTTTAAAAGACTACCAGATCCGCAAATGTCGGATCCGCAAATATTAATCCGCATCTGTCGGTCCGCAAAAGTCGGTCCGCATATGTTAAACCTCAAATGTCGGGTCCGCAAATGTCGATCCGCATATGTCGGTCCGCAAGTGTCGATCCGCAAATGTCGTTCCGCAAGTGTCGGTACACCAAACAAAGTCGATTTGGGAATACACTGTATTCCTCAACTCTGTATTTGGAAATGTAAAATACAGTTAAATTTTTAATCTACATTGTCTTAGGGAAATATAGAACAGGAAATTCTAAAAATAGGCTTACATCCCAGGGTTTTTCAATATTCTTAAAAAAATAAATTTCGGCCCCCAGGATTTCTGTACCTATATTCTAATAGAACCACACTCCCTAATATAAGCACACCCCACAAGGGCATTGAGAAATAGAAGCACATGTGGTTATATTAGAACATTTACTGTATAATGGAAAAAACTTGGGAAAGAAAAAGGGAACCCTAAACCGTTGTTTACCCTTAGAAATTTGAAAAGATGAAAAAAAGAACTTGCATTTTGAAGTCTTAGTCCATAATTTTCCAAAGATAAATCAAATTTCAACTAAAATGTAAATTTATTTTTTAAGATACCTTCGTTCATAACAAGAAGGGTAAAATGAAACTGTAAAATACCGCTCGCTTTGTTTTCACCCATCGGACAGAAAAATCAGACGTGATAACATATGAACGTACATATGAGATCCGTAGGTCAGGAGATCAGGAAATATGAAGATTTCCCTTCAACACTCAAAATCGCCAATCTTTCTTAATCCCCTATATCCCTCGAAATCGCACTTTTTAAATTTATGTAATCCCCTATAGAAAGTAAAATATATATATAGAAACCCCTATAGAAAGTAAAATATGGTGCTACAAAAGGGGGTTGACTCAGATCTTCAGGGGTGGACTCATATCCATCTACATATTTTAATTTAACACTAAATTGTTTTTTAACCTCTAATTTTTTCAAACGTTGTTTTAAACCTCCATTTATATTTTGTGCTGAACAAAAAGAACTACTACATATAGTAGATAAACCATCAATACTCGATGTTTCCAAACTTTTCTCTGTAAAACTATCCTCTTCCACAAGTGTTTCATCTCCAATTTTATTCAAATCAGCCTTAATATTATCAGAATTGGTTGTGGAGAATGACCATTCTTCTAATTGTTTTGGTGTTTTCATATTTTTTAAAAGTTATCTTCTGAAAATATTCCGTTATATGTACGTATATCCGTAAAATTAAGCGCTTTCTAAATGTGACGGCTATAGTTCTAAATGTGAGCGGCAATTCCAACGAATTTTATATCATTCGAAAGCCCCCTCGATGCTCAGATTTGATCTATACAATTAGTAAAAAGATATACATAATTTTATCAAGGGCTTTCGAATAAAATAAACAGTAAATGAATTGGATCAAGCCCAAAATTATAGCCGATCAGTTTTTATGGCACTCAATTTGTGTTTCGTATTACGGATAAGTAAATATGTACAATGTATCAAAGGTTTCAAAGGTTTTATAGTAAAAGGTTTTTTGCTCAATAAGACAGTTTTGTTGTAAATAGTTAGTAAGGAACTTGAATTATTTTTGAGAATATTTGTTGAGGGAATATTTTAAATGAATAAAAGATAAGAAAATGTTTTGAGGAGGAGTCAGACGTAACTTTTTAGAAAAAAAAACTTAAGCACAAACAAATTGTTTTTTTTCCTCAACATATATTGACAAAAACTGTCTCTGGGCAAAAGAACCTTCAATATAATTATAAATATTTTAAATTTATTTACTTAGTTAACCTTTCTCCATAAATTTTTGAGATGCCCATTTTATAGGCGACTAGATTTTTTTAATTATTTTTAAATCGAATTAAATTGGATTTTAATTTTTTCCAATAAAATTAAAATATACGTAAATTTAAAAATATTTATTTTAGTAAAATTTTTAAATAAAATTTATTTGTTTTTCTTTTAAATAATTTAATTAAAAACATTCTAAAAAATGGCTGAAGAATCTGATTGGATTTTGGTTGAAAAAGAGGGAAATGATTTTAAAAAACTTGAAACTAATTTCGAAAATCTTCAAAAAGAATTTGTTGTAGAGAAGGAAAAGACTACTAATCTTCAAGAAAGTTATTTTTTCTTTTAAGATTAGTAGTCTTTTCCTTCTCTTCAACTTTCTCAAAAAATAATTTTCTTGAAGATGAATTGAAGGAAATGAATAAAGTTTGGATGTTTTTCGTTGAATATTTTTTCTTAAATAATTTTGTCAAAAGAAATAGGATTCTTGGTTTCTTTTGATTTAAAATTTCTTCTTTTGAAATTTTAGTATAACTTCTTTTAATTAAAATTCCTCTTTCTTGGAATTCTAATGTAAATTCAATTTAATTAAATTTTTAATTTTTATCCAACAAAATAAATTAATTTAAAGCTAAAACAATTTAAAAAATATTGGACGATTAAAAGTGAGAGAGAAGACTTTGATTTTTATTGTAAAAATATAAGAATGAACACCAAAAGGCTGTTTAGTGATTTATTTTATAACAGCAAAAAGGAGATGGAGGTTTTAGTGTAATAGCCATTTTTTATTATAAAATGGAAAGATGAAGAATAAATGGAAGAGGAACAATTTATGAGTAATTGAAACGATAAAAGGGAGCATTAGAAAAATGAATAATAAAATTAAAGATAAATGTTTAAATGTAAGGGGTTTTATGGGAAAATAAAATTTTTATAGATTTTTATCTTTAATTTACACTTTAATCTTCTTCGGTCTTTCGACGTTTTTTCTTCGACATGGCAATAGTCGAAACACTCCCCCTCTGAGAGTTATTTTGGTCATCGGGAGCATGAGCATTTTCAGGAGTGACCACTTGTTCCTCAAAAGAATTATTTTTTAGAAATATTTTTTGAATATTTTTTATCCGTTTATTAGGCATGTTAACAATTTTCCACAGTTTATATAAAAAGAAAATTGTTTTATAAGTCCAGATTAGAATCCAAATTAGGCTAACAGTGAGGATCATTTTTTGTTTAAAATTCTCCCATATTTCGGTTAATGGCCAGAAGGTAAGTTTTTCGTTACTTATTTTAGCATCGAACTCATTATTATTGGAATTGTGTATATTTTCACTATTTTTGCTAATCCTAAATTCTTTAAAGGCTTGCATCATAATTTTTTCAGGATCATTTATTTTCGTTAAAACATGTCCTTTAAATGTTTGGCTATCCAGTATTGGAGCTTTATTCCATTTAGACCCTTTTGGGGTTTCTATAATGGATTGGGTTGAAACTTCGGATAAGGTGCCTTTCCTCTGATCTATCTTATAAATTGACCCGCGTATCAAAACTTTTTGAGTTTGATACTTAGTGCAGTCTCCAATTTCAGACTTTTCCTTTACTATTAATTTTTTCGGGTCTAGAAACAGATCGTTTTTATATTTTTCCATTTTAACCATAATTGGGAGGTCCTTAGTGCAATTGTTTTTATTTGCTCTAATTTTTATTTTTTCCCAATTTAATTCAATGCAAGGCCAGACCTCAATCCACGCTTCTGAAGATTTTGTATCTTCAGTGATCCATTCAGCTTCGATATAAGGAGTGCCAAATTTTTTCCGTGCGTAGGTTGTAGCATCTAAAGAAGTTATAAATTGTGGTTCAGCATTAATCTTACAAATTGTCTGAGCCAAATGATTATAAGCTCTTTTTAACAAAATCTCTGTGGTTAATCTTTGAGCTGTTTCACCAGCAGAGAATTGCGAAACTCGTACTGAACCATCTAAATTTAAATTTTCCAATTTATTTTTCAATTTATTTAAAGAACGTTTTTTCTTGTTTTTGACTTCTAAAAAATGTTCTTTGTAATCAACTACTTTGATAACATAGAGTTGATCAGATTTAACATATTCTTTTTCACAGTCAGTTATAGTTTCAGGTTTGGTGAAGCTTAAAGAAAAAGTGTTATCATTATTTAAGAACCACTTATCATACATGGTTCCTTTGAATGTATCCAATTTTATATAATTACATCTTTGATTCTCTTTTGGAGAATTCCAGATGAGTACAGAATTATCCTTCAACACACATTCGTTCTCAGAAAGTTTACAGTGTGCCAGATCCAACATTGGATTTTCAATTGATTCCTGATTAGGAAAAAAGAAAATATTTATTTTTGTTAAAAAACAATTAATTACGGAAGCTTCTTTTCCGCCAGAAAAATATTCAAACTTTGGTTGAATTATATTTAATGTCCTTTTTGAATCATCATCTCCCATTAAAAGATTATTATTTGCATCTGAACATTTATTTAAATGTTTCATCTTCAAGCAGTCTTCTTTTGTGACTGCCAAATCGATTTTCTGAATAGGAGAAATAATTTTATAATTTAACCAGTTTGTATAATAGGTTAATTTTTCCATTACTTTTGTGCAGTGCCATCCCGAAATTGATTGAGTGGTATCTCGAGCTCTATAAACTTCCAGACTCACATCTTTTATCGTTTGTCTTTCATGAACAAACAGTTCTTGGCAATGCTCCGTTGGATGGCCTATATGATATATTTTAGAATTAATGCCATGTGGGCATATCATTGGTTCATTACCTTTTATTAAAGGAACAAACAAGACGAGTCCAATCACCAAGATCATGATCATAGAGACAAAAGAAAGTCTATCTACGATATTGAATCGTCTGGTGTTTCTGATTGGGCTAATATCCTTTGAATAATTACTTCCTCTCCAACCTCGGTGTTGTCCTCTTTTATAAGAGTTGGAACTTCCTCTTTTATAAGAATTGGAGCTCCCTCTTGATGTACTTTGATGGTAAGAATAAGTATTATGATTTTTTAAGCTTTGCTCTTCATCTTCAGATTCATCATAATATAATTTAATATTTTTTTGAGACATTAATCGAGGTTCAATTCCTTTTAATTTTTCAACTATTCCATCAATTCCTTTTGTTGTTATTGTTCCTTCATTATTGATTAATTTCATTTTAATCGCTTCTTTGCTTCCAATTTCGTTGGAAATATATTTACCACCTTTTGTTGTCCTACCTTTATTTTGAAGGTAGATATTAATTTTTTCCCAATAATTTATAGCGTTGATATTAAAGGGCGGCGGTAATATTATTGTTGTTCCGATTTTTTCGGCACAATTTTTAAAAAAGTCTTCTAAATGCATTTTAAATGCTTCAGGATGACCTCCTTGATTTAAATAATCATTTCCAATCCAAATAATAATTATTAATTTATTTTTCGGATTTAAGAATATATTGTCGTTAAATATATATTTTACTTCATTTAACGGTGCTGGAACGATACAATAACATTGGTGGAATATTTTAGTCAAGAATTCAGCATTAGAGTCCCCAACAATAATTACTTCATTTAATATTGTTTTTGCTCTTGGGAAGAATTCAATACTTCTCATATAAGTTAGAGAGTTTTCCACATTTTCAATTATTTGTAGAATTATTTCATGCTTTTCTTCATTCATTTTATTTTGACCTCTCAAATGAACTGGCAACCAAGGCCTAGTGTCGAATGATTCTTCAGCCATCTCGCAGGCTGCCTTCCAAAGGCTTAAAGCCGGCTTAATTTTCCGAGGCCGAAAATCTTCATCTAATTTCCCTTTCGGGTAAATTTTATTTGAATTATTTTCAATGATTCGAATAATATGTGCTGGTCGTTGAGCCTTCAAAATTTGATCCACTAATTCCATCCCAGCTTCTACTGAGATGGTTTTTTCATTTTTGTTTTTCCACCAATCTTTTCGAATTTTGGTCAAAGCCCAGAAGCACAAAATTACTTGTATGAGAGATTCAACTGTTTTACTAAGTAGAGCCGAATAATCTTCTTTTATTTCTTCTTTTCTTGCAAGATCGATTATGTTGCCTAATTTTATTGAAGAACAATTTTTGTGTCGTTGTGTACCTGGTGAACAACCGTACATAACCGACCAACCATAATGCAAAAGTGCATATCCCTCGTTTTCTTCTTTAATATTATTATCCTTAACCGACTGTTGGTCAGTTTTTTCTTTAATTTTATTTTCCGATGGAGGTTTTGGTAGTAACTTTTCCAGTCGGGATGTGCAAACAACTGCCTGATTAGGAATTACTTCTTTAATTACTTCTTTTTGTGGTAATTTCTCTTTTTGCACTTTTGACACAAAGGATTTTAATCGATCATT